TTTTTTTTTTTTTTTTTTTTATTCTATTCTTTGTCAATGGAAATCAATTGAAATCGAAAACACACTTGTATAAGTAGATATTTACATACTCATATACAATGTGTGTGTGTGTGTATAAATTCTCTCTCGTGAATTAAACTCTATCGAATATGATGTTACCTGTTTGTTTTCAATTTGTCATTTTAATTTGTTCGTTTATATTTTCTATTTGTGTTTTGCTGTTGTTGTTGTTGTTATTGTTATTGTGGAAGTTTTTTTCCTTTTCATATTTTTCTCTTTTCTTTCTTTTTGTTCTTTTTTTTTTCCCTGCTATTTTTTTTCGATGCATCATAAATGAATCTCCGATTCGGATGGAAAGCTGTAAATTAAAATGGACGAAATAATGGGGCTTTCGTTCGTAGAAGAAAAAAGGGGATGATGGGGGTTTTAACCAAATCTTTTTGTTTTTTTTGTTCTATTCCATCGAATACAAATGTCATTGTGTTTTGTGTATTATTGATGGTGCGACAATTTCGCACCAACTTTGAACAATATTTCGATGCTCGTTGATAGTTTACTTTTGACAAAACAACACAAACGTCTTTTATTATTTTCTTTTTTTTTTTCTTTTTTCATAATTATAACAAAACACCGAAAAGTTTTATAATTCGTGAAAAATCTATGGATTTTGATTGACACACTTTTGTAGTAGGCATTTCGTGTTGTGAAAACAATATAGGATTAAAATTAAAGAGAAAAAAACTATATCATATGTTTTACGTCATATTTCATCCTCACGATTTAAAAATAATCATCTTGAAGCTGGACAAATATGAATCGTTGAGTGAGTGAGTTAGGTTACCAGGATATTTGATAAATTATTTCATCTTAATCTCTGTTTCGTTTTCTCTCTTTCTTCTTCTTTTCTTTTCATTCGTCGATATTTTAGAGACACGATTTTTCTATCTGATAACAAAAATAACATGACCTTAGCAATGTCGGACTCGTTATAAGTATATAATTCTCTATCAGTTGGATTATCCAAGACGACATAATTAAATTCACTGTGTTCGATGTAGGTCATGTTAATTTTTACATCAAGATCGAACAGAAGAGAAAAAAAGAATAAAAGAATACTAATCATTTATTAAAAAAAAAAAAAACTAAAAAAGAAAAGAAAAAGTGAAATAAGAATAAGAACCCACCCATGTAATAAGTGGATACTAAAAATCGATCTTAAAGATAATTATAAAATGGTACGGATTAAAAGAATAATTACTTTCTTTTTTGTGCTGATAGTAAAGGTGGATTAAATTAACGACGAATAAGGAAACTTCAGGATAACTCGACTCTGATCGATACCAGAAGGGACTACTAAGGGTCCCATGCATACACGTTACATACATATATACATACATAAATACATAGGTATGTACCTTAGAATTATTGAATCATTACTTAAAGTTTTAAAGGGTAAGGAAGTTATAGTGTAGAACCGTGTCGAGAAGTTTGTTCGATGGGTTCCTTTAGGTACGAGGTGGTATCGAACCTTGTCTAAATCGACGTGACACCACGAACAAACCAAAGCCTCCCCCAGCCTCCTCACCCCACCCTAGTTGCGTTTCTAACCTAAGACATTGACGAAGGATAGATTAATCGTATTACCGATTGTCGAGCAGCTTAGTAGATTGGTAGTCTTGGTCAGTAAATACACTGAATCTAACTGTATATAACCCAAACTCTAGCAACACTATTCGTGTTGATGTTAAGCATCGATGTCAACTTAAAGTCCACCTACCATACATGTCGTTTCCTATCGAGTTTAATTAAACTTTTCCAACCAAATTCCTTAGTTTTATTCTTTTTCTTTCTCTCACCCCGATTCTCCCCTTGTGCAAACCAGAAAACCAATAAACTTTTGTACAGCTGTACTGGATGTTCTAAAAGTCATTTTATCTACTTTAAAAAATTATATACATATATATATATAATTTATTTATATTTTTTTATAATTATAATAATTATAATTAATAATTTTTTTATAGACATTTGGAACCTTGTTTTTTTTTTCTAAGTTTATATTTTAAAAAAAAATATTTTTATTAAAGATTTTTATTAGAGAACAAATCAATGTTTAACTTTTGTTTTATGGTTTTTATTTTTTTTTTTGTAAATCGACTTTTGGAACAGCCTGTACACGAATACACGTATGTATATGTGTATCTTATATTCACACTGTATTCTATCTCTTTCTCTCCTTTTTTCTATTTCGCTATCTTTCTTTTACATTTAACCAACATAGAAACAGAACGAATTACTTTCTATCGCCAACAGCTAAGCTTTGTTGGCCGCTTTTAATCGTCTACCACCTAAAATAGTTCTTTTCTTTTCTTCCATTCAACCGCATGCGCTCGAAACTAAACTACAGTCTAGATATCTTTATCTTTATCTTATAATTTCGAGTTGGTTAATTTAAAAAAAAAGAAAAGATTAAGTCTATAAATATTATGGGATGTTTATCAATTTTGTTTTAAATGTGTCGTAGTTTGAGAAATTTAAATGACGTTTGTTAGAAAACAACAAAGTTGTATCATTAATTATATATACTTATAATACTGGTTACAAAAAAGAAAAGAATTAGAAACAGAGTGTGGTTGTTTGAAAGTGGTGGTAGTGGTGGTGGTGGTAGTGGTGGTTGAGATGGTAGAAAGAGGATGGTTGTAAGCATGAGGTAGCAGGAAGTCTCCACAATGTTGTGCTACTTCGTAGGACTTTAAGTACTCGAAACTCGCTACGAACTATAAACTGGAAACTCCACGTCCGCCTTCTCTTTAATCTCCTTTTCCTTTCCCTCTTGATTCCAACCCCCTTTTCTCTATTTCTCTCTATCCCTATCTTTATCTTATATTCTTTAGTATTAGTATGCTAACCATAATTATACGGATAATATTGTTGATTGAGTTATATAAAAGAGAAAGATATACTTTTGTATTTAACTTTTATTTTTTGTGGCATCAGTGAAGGGACCAGTGATCGACCATGTGCTAGAAATTGACCATTTTTCATTAATGATTGCTTTTATATTGATTTTGGTTTTAATATAAGTGGTCAACTATTAAAGAAAACAAATTGTCGATTATTGGTTTCTTCAGTTTTACAAATGGTCAACTACTATTGTGCCATGATTGTTTATTATTTTCGTATAATACAACTTTTTTCGTAAAATATCCTTTGTTACATGACGTTCGAAGTTGAAAGAATATTTTCAGCGCATCACTTTTTCACACTTAACGTGTTAACACGTTGAACTCCATGCGAATTATTATGGAAATCTTCGTCAGGCCATCATTGTCACGCGTGGTAAAACGAAAGGTTGAGCGTCAGGCACCTGTGCTTGACGCGGCCTAGATGGAAAGTTCAGTGTCAGTCACTTATGACTGACATGTCACTCAACGCGTTAAAGTGCCTTCATTTTACCATGAAGATAATTTTTTTTCATCCGAATAGATAAAAAAAAAAAAAATAGATAATAATACTTTCTTGTGTGGTATTAAAAAAGAAAAAAAGTCACTCTAAATCATTCTCGAGTTCAGATTCTTAAGAGTCTGAACTATTCTCACAGTCTTTAGGAATAGTTCAAGGGTAGAGGGATCTTTTCCAACTGTTAAGGAAAACTTTCATCTTCTTCCTTTCCAAAGGTAAAAGTTTGTTCGTATTTTCGCTACTTTCTTTCGTCTGTCCCAGAGGTTGAATTCTTTTCCGCAAAGAAAAAAAAAAAAAAAAAGAAAGCAGACAGTAAGATAGTAAGAAACAGAAAAATAAGAAAGAAAAATTCACGTAGAATAAAGGTTACGTACAGATAAAGTGAGATCGAAAAAGAAAGAGAAAGAGAGAAAGAGAGAAAGAGAGATGAGTATGGGACTTGAAAGTGTAAAGACGATCGAGTTTTGAGTTTAATTTTAAAAGAGACGTCGAAGAGAGGGAGGGTGTACGCGCGGATTTAGTAGAAATAAAGAAATAAAGAAAGGTGGATAGAAGTATAAGGAATAAAAAAAAAAAAAAAAGAAAAAAAAGGAAGAGCAAAAGAGTATATAGAACAAGTAGAGAGTGAGTGAGTGAGTGAGTGAGTGAATGTGTGAGAGAGAGAGAGAGATTTGGGCTTTATCTAGGAGAAATTACTGTGGCCTTAAAGCGACTGAAGGTAGTAGGGCAAAGAATCCTTGGCTGAATGGAGACTTCAGTCGTAGAGAGTATGAGTGAGTAAGAGAGAGAGAGAGAGATAGATAGATAGAGAGAGTGAGAGGAACCTCTAGGAAAAGGTTAGCCTCTCTTAGTCGTCGTTTCTTTCACGGGGCGAAGATAGAGTACTGTTAATTAGATTTCTCGTTGAAAATCCAAAAGAGGCGGAGGACACTTCTTCTCTTCGCGTATATAAGCTCATAGCCGGAAGTTACTTTTACCTTTTACTCTTTCTATTATCCCTCATCTCACTCTCTTTCTCTTTTTCTCTTATTTTTTTTTTCTTTTTTTGAAGTGACAACTTCCTTAGAATAGGAGTGACGCCGAAAAAAAGCGAACGGAAACGCGGCGACGTTTCAAAAAGAGACAAACAAATAGGATTGACCCTGCGAGAGAATGAGACAGAATATAGCTATACAGTTTTTCCTATTCTCGGTCTCCTCTTTATGCGCTGCTTCGTAGTTATCGCTCCTGGTTGTATATGTGTGCGTGTCTGTGTGCGACTGCATATTACGAAACGTAGACACATATTATTTCGATACTTAAAATGTTTGTCGGTAGGAGCGATAGAAGGGTAGAAGAATAAACAGAGATAAGCATGTAAGTATTCGATAAAAGATTAAGGTACAAACGAACCGACGGTCGAAATAAAGAAAGAAGGTGTGTGGTCAATTAGTTAATAAACGTATTTATTGTTATCTTTTTACACTTTTATTGTCTGATTACTTTTGCACGTAGAGATGTTATTCTAAGTAAATTTTATTATACTAAATGTTCTCATGTTCTATTGTAACGTCACATTTTCTAGATTTTGTAAATATTACAGTAAGTGTATATATTCCGTTTAGTTTTTATCAATTGCTTGAATTATAAGAAGTGTTTTCAGACAGCTTATTTGAAAAGAATTTTTAAAAAGATTAAAAAAATATTAACAACAATAATAATAAATATTATCTCTTCTTAAACTTTAACAAAATCTTATTCACAGGTTTCATTGATACACCCAATTGTATAGCTATGTCTTCACATTTTATTGGGCCATCTACATGAACAGAAAATTTTCTCAATATAGTAGCAATTGCAGCTTCCATTTCCATCATAGCAAATTTCCAACCTATAAAAATGAAATTCATTGCACATGTATTATGTTAATCATCTTTATATTATACACTCTCCTGAGTCTATAAACATATACTGTTACCTACCAATACATCCTCTTGGTCCAGTGGAGAATGGTAAAAAATGTTTAGTATTGTAATTGCCAGGTAAAAATCTATCAGGATTAAATTGTAAAGGATTTTTCCAATATTTTTCGTTTCGATGAAGTGAATAAAGCATGAACATATAAGCAGAATTTTTTGGTATTATTACATCCTCGCTTACTTTAAAAAATTAATAAATATATGTAAGTACTATATAAAATGTAAATTATTTAACGTATTAAACGTAAATATATTAATATGAAATAATAACGTGTGTGTATGTAAATACTAATATTTATTCAGTATGTGTATGAATACCTTGTATATCTTCGCATATATTTCGTGCCATAAAAGGAGCAGCAGGGAAAAGACGAAGAGTCTCTTTGATCACTCTTTCCAAACATTTCATATTCTTAGTATCTTCATATGAAAGATTTTTATCTATCGGATCGAAAGAACCATATATTTGGTTGAGCTCCTCGTATACTTGTTCCTGCAATTTAAGATGTGGAAAACTTGTGATTCAACTTTAGTATAAAATTATGTGTTGTTTTCTAAAAACAGTGACAGTGAATATTGTAATTAAGTTTTACTCATACGTACTTGAATTTTTGGATAAATAGCCAACATTAACAACACAAAAGTAATTGAAAAAGCAGTTGTATCACTTCCCTAAAAAAAAAAAGATAAAATTTGTTCTTTTTCTTTTTCTTTGTAATCAAAGTTTTGTTTAAAGTAGACAAAATCTTACTTACAGTAATAACTATTGTATTTATTTCGTCTCGAATATCATGTTCCGTATATTCTTTTCTCTCATAGAATGATTTGAATATCGTGTCAAGAAATAGAGAAGTATTGTTTGCTTTATCAAAAATAATAATTAATATACTTTTTAGCAAGTTAAGAAAATTTTATTGCAACAATTTGTTAAAAAAAAAAAAAAAAAAGAATTAGATTATTGAATAGTTATTCATACTTGCATCTTTTTCTTTCATTTCGCCATTAATTTTCTTTTCTTGCATGGATTCTTTTCGTTCCTTTATTATCTTAACACAAATAAGTTATATATATATATATATATATGTATGCATATTTATGAAAGTTATAATATAGTGAAAGTTATATATATATTTTAATGTAGTAATAGAATAATATATGTACAATGTGATAAATTTAATAAATAATTTTTGTCTTTATTTATACCTTCCAGGTTAATGTATCCAAGTGTGATAAAGCTTCCCGAAATCTTTTTCCTATAGGTAAATTGTAGAAAATAATATCCGGATGCAACCAGAATTTGTAGACCCTTTTGGTCGTTGTGTTTAATAATCTGAATAAAAATAAAAATCAGAAAGAAAACAAAATGTGTCATAAAATTTGATATTTAAAAAAATTTAAAAATATTATAATATTATTATTATTATTATTATTACTCTGAAATATCGTTATGAAGTCTACATTTTGGATTATTTTGGAAATTAAAATCCCGGCCCAAAATTGTATCTGTCAATACAAAAAGAAGACAAATATTAACAAATTTTTTTGTATAATAAAGGAGTTTTTTTTTTTTTTTAATTTTTTTTCTATTTAAAGAGATTTATACTAAACTTCGAATATTTCAAAATCTTACCATATATCGTATCCAAACTAAAAAGATGTATGTAATGGTGTACGTCTATTTCTTTTTCATTAAGATTTTCAATAATTCTCGTTAATCGGTTTGAATGTTTTATTATCTTGCTCATTTGGTTAGAAAAAATGTTTACTTTGAATATTGGATTTAACATTTGTCGATGACTTTCCCATATTGACGCTTTAAAGAAAAGATATGTTTTAATCAAGTATATTATATTTTTCTTTTTTATATTAAAAAGTTTCGATATATAGAAAACAATAACTCTTTTACATGTATGTTTCATGCATTAGTGTACACGTCGTATGCGAAAAGAAAGAGAAAAGTCTTTAATTAGCAATTAATTGTAAGTTATTTTTAAAAAGAATTCTTCCTTAGTAATATATATTTAAGTATAATTCTTTCAATTAAAAGATAAAAGTATAATTCTATAGTTTACCAGTTCGCGCGCACTATATGTTATGCTGACGCGAATCCGTTTTCAACTAGCGTACCATTTTTAAGATGCAATTATACGCGAGTTGTACGGAAGTCTCACGACGGTAAACTAATACAGTGTGAGTGGTTTTGTAGTATTACTAAAGTCACTTCTTCAGTCAACAATGCTTTATTAACTTAAGTCTTTGGCGATTATATAGATGTAAAGTGTATAACACAAAAATGTATAATGAGCAAAGAGTGTAAGTATACGAAGAAGAGTATGTATTATATAACAGAAACGAACGAACGATCTTACTTGATTGCACATGTTTTTATATCTGAATTAGTTACACCCCTTTGGAGAGGAAAGGAACTGAATGCAACTTATTAAACAATAATAGGAGGGTCCACCCACCAGAGTGACCCGATGGGAAAGTTTATGTTTTTTGGGAAGGATGGTAGTGGGGGTTTCTGGGAACATAAGGAATTTCTTTTCTAAATAGTACCCTTCCCATGTGCATTGTCTCATGTTCACTTAAATATTGTATATCACTCGAAGGACCAAACACTGGTATGCTTTTAGTTGCCCAATATGTTTCGATGGTCATTGAAATGGTTAGAAAATTTATGGCAATCATAAATTTTCTTCATCCTTAAGTGGAATCTTTAAAATAGACGATACCTTATACCTAAGGCTTGACATATTCTATAATATTTAGTTCCATAAACTTATGGTATGGTTTTCTTCAAATGAAATTTAATATATGAAAAAATAACGGAATATAAGTTATCGTCTATACATAATTTGGTACCGAACATTACCTGAAGCAGCTATCAAACCATTGCCTATATAAGGTTTCACAAAGTTATATTGGAAACTTTTCTCAAAAGAACTCGAGTGTTTAGAAATAATCTGGAAAAAGAAGAATTTCAAAATATAAAAATGAAAAATTTCCGAAGAATTTTACTGTTAAAAACTCATCGTAAGAAATTATAGAAATCTTTATGAATCTTACATCAATATGTTCCGGATCATCCGAAATTATACATAATTTTGTTCCTGACCAAATACGCCATGGTAATGGATAGTTTTCCATTTCTTTTAGAATTGTATTTGTTATATCTTATTAGAAGATAAATTCAATTAATAATATTTGCAAGAATGTAAGTATTATAAATATAAGAAGCAAACTAACCTTTAGGCTCACTAAGAAGTACATGTATATTTCCAATGAGAGGATATGCTTTATGTCCTGAGAAATATTTTACCAAATTATATTCATGTATTTTACTTATTAAATATTTTATCATATAGTATAATAAAATTATTATTACTGGTAAACTAATAAATGTTTCAATAAATTCCATATTGTTTTAATTGAATTCAAAAATATTATATAAATAGTCTTTTTGGTTTAAAAATATTCTAAGTTCTTCTTTTGTAAATTTGAAACAGAAAATTTATCACAGCACAGAAACTTCAAGTTATCTTCGTGTCTTATCAGCTATTAAATAAAATTAGGAACAGCTTCTTCTATTTAAAAAAGACGATGATGTCGGTGCGCAAGGTGGGACAAATAAAACTGATTTATATTATATTTTTATTTTGTTCAAATGGATATTCGCATACGTATATGCAAAATATTATATAATATAGTTTTTACAGTGTTCAATGCTATTTAGGATAATAAAAATTCATAAAAAATACTACCTATTTACGTCACATAATTTACCTTTTTTTTTTATTTACCTCGATAATTGTATTTTTTACAATATCGAAGGTTGGAATATTTTAATTTTGTCTTACGAATTATTGGCTTGATATAATGATTATAGTTAGGTTTTCCATATTTTTTTCATTGCACTTCTGTGATAATTATTCTCCAATAAAAACTGAAGCTTTTGGTAGATTGGTTAAAATATACTTCTCTAAAATCACGAAACTTGTACACTTTTCCTTCGTTTAAATTATCTTGATGTCCTAAATGGAACAGCGAGAAATCAACATTTATGTTAGTTGGATCAACATAAATATAATGTACGTAGTATATTTTTCGAAATAATTTTATTAGTTTTTCTTTCAATTTTTTCTACTGCGGAGAACAACTAGAGGAGTAGCGAGACGTATATTTATTCACATATAAGAATAATATGATTCTTGTTTACCTCATCACATAATAGCGGCAATTAACTTTAATTATTCGAGAAAAACTATATAATTTATTCTATATTTTTTAAATGCTAATCTTATGAGTTAACAATGAGAATGAGAAATTTAAAAAAAAAAAAAAGGTCTCTGAGGTGCTTATTAATGTGCCTTTTAACGATTTATTTTATGAATATCTTAAAAATAATTGTTATCTGTAGACATATTTCTTTATTTTCCTTATAACCTGTATTACTAATAATATGTATATTAATAATATGTAAAAAAAAAAACGAAAAAAGATACAAGTTAGAGACCCTACAGGAGGGACGCGCCATGTACATTGCTGGGGGACAGAAACTAGTGTAGTCACGTGATCGCGCGCGAAATATTCAAACATTGAAATAATTATGAAATAATGAATTGCATTAAATACAGAAAAAAAATGAACTATATTTAATGATAATTAAAAATTTATATTACAATAGAATAGGTTACACAAAAGAATTATTATAAATTCAATAAGAAAGTTTTAATTAAGTTTGATTTGATAAAAGGCATTACAGTATTTTAAAATTTCAAAACAATTTGTAGGAATTTATACAATTTTGATAAATATAATTATCTACTATATATATTATATTAATAATAATAATAATAATAATAATAATAATAATAATAATAATAATAATAATAATAATAATAAGAC